CGCTGAACGAGTGGCTCGTTCTGCGGGGCGAGAAGAGAAATTGGTCACGAGACGAGAAGCATTGCCCGAGACACGAGACGGGAAGTATTTCTCGTTCTCGGGACCGGTCTCGGCGAGAAATAGGTCAGTTTCTCGGTCTTCTCGCTCGGGAAGGAAAAAGCGCTACCCGCCCCTCTCTACTAGGTTCCCAATTATTAATAAATGCAAGTCGGAATCGTAAGAATCGACTCCAAATCCAATTATTACTTACTTCCTAATGGTGTGCTTTCTTCCGATTGTTACCTGGTTGGCTCCGAACATCTTCAGGAGTTAAAGATAACCTTGATTTTGGAACTCTAAGAAACATCGACTTTTATTTTTTTAAAATAAATTCAAAAAAAAAAAAGAGAGAAGATTTTAATAATTAAGGTAGCTGGTAACCGTTGGTTTGCGTAAAAAGGAGTCAGTACTTTTCTTCCGTAGCATTAATCGTGGGAATCGGTTCCGGATTTGATTCTTCGCCCAGCTCTACCTTGTGGTTATAGGCGGTGCCCATTGGAGGATCTGTTCGGGACGGTTTCTGGCAGCTTCGGTGCTCACTATTAATGGTTGCTTTTAAGGACAAGCGGGATAACCCAGATTTCTGGGGTTTCCAGAAATCTTGACCTACACCAAAAGTGGGCATTGCCCTACCTATAGGAGAAGTTTAGTTTCACTGGTGTGTATTTTGTTTGATTATAGAGAAAATTCTCCATGTCTTTTAAGTAAACTGAACAAGGGGCAAAAACTTTACCTTTGATTTTCTCAAAACAGCATTTTTCGGGAAAGCCCCCTTGCTCTTGAAAGCAACCAATAGACCAACTGCCCAAATCGAGCGCCCGACTCGCGACCTTGAAAATAAACACCTTTGATATTGAAGATCATTATCGGTTTTGTCGGTTTTGCCTCTCCCGTGGAGGACAACCCGGCTTGCCGCAAACAGAAAAAACCGACAAAACCGAACCGAACCGAACCGAACCGATGAGGCCAAAGGGCACTGTCTATTAGACTACTGGATCCGTAATCGTGAGATTGTGGGTTCAGGGGTTCGAGCCTCAGCTCCGTCCGACGTTGTGCCCTCTGGAAAGGCACTTAACATGGATTTCCTATTTGTCTCGGTCCTTTCGGGGCTGGACGTTTAACTCAGAAGTCCCACCTCTTAAATAAAGTAATATTATTGACAGAGACATTACACAATATACATTTACCATTCCACACCCTGGTAAGTACGACTCCCACATAACATCGCATTCGAAATGACAATTTTTCAAATTACATGTATCATACACCGTTACAAATGTTGCTTGCTTGATTATTAAACGACCATCAGCACCTACACAGTTTAAACAATTTTGCAGGTGGGCTGCTTTGGCCTTGCTTGGTGGGTGGTTGGCGGGTGTTTTGGTGTGGCTGGCTCCTTTTTTCTTTTCTCTCTTACCAAACGTCCATCTTCCTTATCTCTTCTACTTTTTTTAAGGGGAAACTTTCAGAACCGCGCACATTCGA